AATTATCCATATAATTTGATTTTTCTCTAAAACAAATTGCATGCTTCTTATCATTTATGATTTTTTTTATAAATGTTCTGTTGGATTAAATAAATAAAAAAAAAAAACTAGAGCACCAGAACAATTAACTCCGAAGCTAGGGTAAGTTGGTCTATCTTGTGGAGCATGTTGAACCATGTAACAAAAATATATTCAAGAACAATAGTTAAGGGTAAAAGTTATCCAATTCAGCAATTGCATTATGCACATTTATTGCACAGTTATAATAATATTGACTTAAAATAAGGTTTCAACATTTAAATTGTGTGAATATAAATCTAAAAATATACGATCAGAAAAACGTAAAGCACAGGTTGTAAATCACATAAATATTAATAGTAAATCGCAATGGTGATATATCTTTTTAACACAAATTGTGGTGTCTATTTTATTTTTGTTATTACATTTTTACTCATTGAGGGAGCTAAGAAAATTACATTGTCAGAACTTCGAAGAAAACTAAATTTATAATTTTGCCTAAAAATGGAAAAAAAAAGAACAAAAACTTATAAGTGCAGAAATTGTTTTAAATAAATACACTGACATATATATTAGCAGTTAATTACTGACAAATAAAAAAGCCCTGCACTGCTATCAAAATACGATAATAACATTACCAACGACTTCACATTGAAATGGCATAGAAATTGCTTAAAAAAATATATTTAAAATTTTACTTTATAATCATTATCAGTTCTACTTCGTTGATTAAGAATTTATTTTAAGATATTAATTTTTTAATAATTTTTAGAAAAAATACAAAAAATTACCAGAGCTGGTGTTAATCAAGAAACAATTCAACCTGGAGGTAAATATGAATCTTGTATTTATTGTATGATTTTATGTTCCAACAAATTTTCAACTTAAAAACTGTTTGTTTTCATTTTAGGTATGAAAGTTTGGTCTGATCCTTTTGATAGGAAAAAGAATTAAGTTGAATGATAACTAAAAATATTGTACATTTGTTACATATTAATCATGCTGTCTAGAGAATGCAATTGCATGCATGAAACATCATGCATCTTTGTTTGTATTAAATTAAAGCATGCTTGCCCTGACTAGGGTCAACAATTTTTTTGTTGTACATAACGTAAATAAAAATTAGTGTTCCTTTACTGAAGTTACCTCACATAAAGTCCTTTTTATTTACTTTATTTATCAACAGGGTTTGATAATAACATACATGGTGCGTAGTTTATTTAAAAAGTGCTTATTTTCAATTTTCATTATTTAAAAGCCCTTAAGGTGCTTTTTTCATTGGATGTTTTTAAAAAGTGCTTAATTTTTTTCTTTACTTTGTCTATTTTCGCCATGTATTATGCAAAAGCATGCTTTTCACATTGCTCTATTCAACATTTTCACAATTCATTCAACCACAATCCATTTCAACTTACCGTCAGACAGTAGCGTATGAAAGCGCCAATCATTTTACATGTTTGATGTGCAACTTTGCTGCATTTTGAAAGAT